GGGTGAGGGGTTGGACTAGATGACCTACAAGGTCCCTTCCAACTCTGATAAACTGATCTAATCTAATGTCACATGAAGCTATGTTGTACTAAACACAGCAGCAGGACAGGAAAGAATAAGATAGGTGGGAAATATTTCCACGTGCTTCATTTAGCAAGTAGCACTGGTTGGAGACATAGTAAAGTAACAGAATAACAGAGTTGGAAAGGACCCCAGAGATCTTCTAGTCCAACCCCCTGCTTAGGCAGGAAACCCTATAGCATTTCAGAAAAATGGCTGTCCAGCCTCTTCTTAAAAACCTCCAGTGTTGGAGCATTCACAACTTCTGGAGGCAAATTGTCCCACTGATTCATTGTTCTAACTCTCGGGAAATTTCTCCTTAATTCCAGGTTGCTTCTCTCTTTGATTAGTTTCTACCCATTTCTTCTTGTCCTGCCTTCTGGTGCTTTGGAGAATAGAATATAAGATGTAAATGAGGGTTTTGCTTTGGAAAAAAGTAAGATGAATTGTAGCTAAATTGGGACACTGAAGCCTGTTTCTCGCCCCCCCCCCCCCCCTTTTCAGTCTGTTCCCACCCCAGGCACCAAGCACCCCGATTCCAGACTCAAACTGGGCCCTTGGTCAACCAGAGGAAAAACACCGAGTCCGGTTGCTCCATAAACCAGAGAACAGCTTGGGTTCTTGAGCAGAGGAGGAGGAAAAAAAACCAACAACAGATCAATAAATTAATAAATCAGTATTTAAAAAACAACAGCAGCTCACTTATGCCTGACCTTCTGGAAACGATCCAATAAAAATAAAATGAAACAACCATGGATAAAAAGCAAAGTGATGGAGATGCGGGATTCCCCCCGAGGGCCCTTCGGCAAAACATGAGCAATGCAAAAAACCAGCAAGAGGGCAAAAGTCACTTTTATCGATTTAGTCAGATTCCTCAATCATCTGCCATTGATATTAGAAACAGAAGGGAATTAGAAGGGACACTGATACTGGAGAAGAGCCTAATCCTGGGAAAGATGGGGGGGCCAAAGGAAGAAGGAGGGGACGGCAGAGAAGGAGGGGGCTGGATGGAGTCCCTGGAGCAGTCGGCGTGAGCTTAAATGGACTCCCGAAGATGGTCGAGGACAGCAAGGCCTGGAGGAACGTTGTCCACGGGGTCCCGATGGGTCGGACACGACTTCGCAGCTAACAACAACAAAGGAACAGCCTTGGGCAGCCTGTCTGAAGCATAATGGCTGGGGAATTCTGGGAATTGAAGTTCACTCTTCTAAAGAAAAAAAAATGTGTCTAGCTTAAATGTTTCTCAACTTTAAGATAGGTGGACTTCCAACTCCCAGAATTCTGAGAGTTGGAAGTCCACGCAGCTCAAAATGGCCAAGGTTGAGAAACCGTGCCCTAGATTGAATCATCTTCTTTTAATGACCCCATAATCCCTTGCGGGGTGGAGTCTGGGCAACTGAATGAAGCGGAGTGTTTACTGGCTGGATGACCTTCCTGTCCCCAATGTGGAGTTTTGTTCTGCAGATATATTCTCAGAGTCCCCCTGAGAGAGAAATACCTTGCCTCTACTTAGGATCGAACTCACAACCTCCTGATTGCGAGGCGAGAGCTCCTCCACCTCTGGGCCACCTCATCACTCAGTGCCCTAGACCAGGAGTCTCTAAAGCAAAGCTGGCTGAGGAATTCTGGGAGTTACAAATCCACAAGTCTTAAAGTTGCCAAGGTTGGAGACCCCTGCCCTAAACTGAATGAGGTGTCAAAATTCATTATTTCTTATTGATAAGATATTTCCAAGTATATTTCTAAAAGAAGAAACAGATATCCTGCGATAAATTGATTAATGATATATAAAGGTAGAGATCTCTGTAATGGTAGCTTAATATTCTGATGATGTCAGCAGAGGCTGACTAAAGCTTGGTAAGTACAATAAATATAATTTTTAGCTCTGGAGATTGCAGGATGTCTGTTTCTTCTTTTACATTTACGTATACATATACATACATACATACATACATACATACATACATACATACATACATATATATATGGTATTCAGCTTTGTTCAGGTATTTTCCCACATCATTATAGTTGTGCTTTTAATGTTGTAGCGACGTTTCGGCAGAATCTCGACGATGGCAGATGAGATTCTGCCGAAACGTTGCTACAACTTTAAAAGCACAACTATAATGACGTGGGAAAATACCCGAACAAAGCTGAATGCCATACATATAAATACCTGCGAAAACTTAACATACACACACACACACACACAATCTCCTGCAGGTGGAAAGATAGCTTGCAACCAGAGCCTCTCTGTGCTTAATGTCCTGCATCCAAGGAAGATGCATTTAAAACTATATCAGTTTATATTTGAAAAACGGGCTTGAGATTTTAGGAGAATTGCTTCCCCAGCTTATTCTGAGCAAAAGGCAGGGAGGAAAAAAGGGGTACAGAAGAGAGGGAACAGCAGAAACACGAAGCCTTGATACACACCCTGGGCCATTCACACGATTTATTTTTCCTGGTACGTGCTGAAATTACGGGGATATAAAGATTTGGGGAGGGAGGCTAGCATAATGAGGGACGTGCACGAGGATTGCTGGTAAGAATGGCAGTAACCATCTTTGGATTTTATCCTGCAAAATTTCAGCGAAAAAAAAAAAAAAAAAAAAGGAATTGAATCAAATATATTGCCCTCCTGTTGTGTTTTTTTTTTTTTTTTTTAAAAAAAGCCACCCTTGAAAACGGGACGATTTTTAAAGAAAGTCAGCAAGTTCTTCCTCTTGCAGGCTCTTGGATCTCTTCCTGCAACAGATCAAATACATCAGATCATCCCTTGCTGGTGAGAGGTCTTCTTCAAAGCGGCCCCTTGATATGGGTAGCCCTTGACTTATGCCCAATGCTACCGTTGCTAAGCGAGGCATTTGCAAAGCCAGTTTTGCCCTGTATGACAACCCTGTCTTTTTCCCGATGATTTTGGTCATTAGGTGGTCACCACTGCAACCGTCATTAAATGTGAGTCAGTTGTTGCCAAGGGTCTGAAGTTTGATCACGTGACTGGTGGGAAAGGCGGAAACATTTTGAAAAAAACGGGCCTTTTTTTCAGTGACCGTTTGTTAACCTCAAACGGTCACTAAAGGAACTGTCCTTAAGTCGAGGACTTCCCTGTACTGGATCCTGGTTTTTGTTTTGGTCTCCATCTCAGTCACCGACACGCAATTATTAGTTGGCTTTCCTCTAAATATATCTACATTTGGAAATGCAAAGCACAATTGTATCTTCAAGCTGAAAGGAAAGTCATGTAAAATTGTACAGCAAAATAAGAAGGAAAAAATAGGCTTATTTTTTTAAATCTTTAACCTGAGTGACTCAGGTAACAGATAATCAGAGTTGGAAGGGGCCTGGTAGGTCATCTAGTCCAGTGGTCACCAACTGGGTACCACTGGGGGTCCATGAGAAAATTTTGGTGGTCTGCAGATAAATGTCTCTCCCCAAAGCAATTAATCCAGGCTGCGTGGGAACACAAGGTTGCGCCGCCTACATGGCCCGTGGGAACACAAGGCTTGTGTCGCTTATATTGCGAACAACACGAGATAGTGAGGGGAGGGGGGAAAGGGCAGAGGGGGGAAACTTGCCCCACTCGCTCCACGCACCTCACCTGGCTGCTTCTTTCTTCTTACGCTTTTTGGTTGAACGCAAGGAAAGCAGCAAAAGTCTTTCTTTCTCTCCCCCAAACTCTGCTATGAAACGAGTCTTTGGGACCCTGCGAGGCATCCTGTTCCAAGAGGCTGCGCTGGTACAAGTCTGACAAAGACTCATTTCTGGTGAAGTTTGGGGGAGAGAAAGACAGACTTCTGCTGCTTTCCTTGCACAAAGCCAAAAGTCTCTCTCTCTCTCTCTCCCCAAGAATGGAGCTGGAGACGGTATCCTGACATCCCAAATAAAGAATGATCGATCGGTAGGAAAACGCAGTGGGGAATTTTCCTGCAGACTTTTTGGGGGAATTTTCCCAGGGTCTCTGGTCTGCAGGATTTAAAATTATGAGTTTGGTGGTCCCTGAGATCGAAAAGGTTGGTGACCCCCTGATCTAGTCCAACCCCCTGCCCAAGCAGGAGACCCTACACCATTTCTGACCGATAGGAGTCCAATCTCTTCTTGAAAGATGCATAAGGCGTCGTCGACACAAATTGTGCTTGGGACTAGCGGCAGCCCACTTGTGATAGGGAAAACAACTGTGGTACCAATAAATAATTTAATAGAGGCACATTTTCTTTTTTTATTACAAATATCTAGCAAATCAGTCACAGGGGGAGTGGGGGAAAACCTGAACCAACAAACGAACTAGGCCTTAATATGACTGCATGGGGAAAAAAATTCAGAACCACGGTCGCTGTCGGTGAGGGAAAAAACAACATTTGAGTCGAATTCATATCCAACGATACGGAAATTTAATCTGCAGGCTTTCCAAAACGAAAACACCAGCCCCAAACCTTTGATGAAAGGAGAAACGAGAGGCAATTTTTTTCCCCTTAACAACAAAAAAAAGGAAATTCAGTTTTCTCACCGAAGCACGTCTTCCCAATTGCTGTTCTTTCTGCTGGTGTGTGTGTGTATGTGTGTTCTCTTCTTCTTTCACCCTTCCTCTCTCTCCATTTTATGACTATAATTCTGCCAGGCTGCAGCAAATCGTAAGACCGGAAGGAAAATTTCAGTGATTCATCCCAATTTTCCTCCTGTTTGTTTTTTTTTGCAAAGGAGCACGTGGCGGATGGAGGCCTCCAAAGATTCAAATCTTTGCTATCAGGGTGCCAGGGAGTTGCAGAGCGTGGAACAGGTGGAAAGGGTGCTGCTTTCCCCTTCTTTTGTCTTGTGTTTTTAACAGCTGTACCTTTCTTATATTTTTCAGTTTTTTAATTGTAGTTAATTTCATAAATAGAATGAAACAACAGCCAGAAAAGACCTCAACATTGTTTGGGCCTGCGGTGGCTAAAGAAAAGGTGGCCAACCTTGGCAACATTAAGACCTGTAGACTTCAACTCCCAGAATTCCCCAGCCAGCCATGATGGCCTGGCTGGGGAATTCTGGGAGTTGAAGTCCACAAGGCTTTAAGCTATAAAGGGTCACAATTCAAACAGCCTTGTAAACAATCAACTTGAACGATCGCTGGAAAACCAGGCGCCAGATTTACTTTGGGTGTGGGCACGCGTGTTTGGATAGGTGCCTGCAACATACAACCAATGGCAGGCTGGCTGGAGGTCAACATCAGACACCGATTGTGTCCACGGTTATTTACAACCCTTGGCTCCAACAGGGAAACTGAGGTCTTGATTGATGGATGAGACAGCGGGACACGAAGACTGGACATTTATGGCTTAAAGCGCCTTTTTCCAACCGGTGCTTCCAAGGTTAGTAGGGAATACAAAATCCATCATCCACTGGCCTTCTGGGGTCACAGGTTATGCCTCAAGGCACTTGGGAGGGCATCATATTAGGGCAAGGGTCTTCAAACCTGTAAAGTTTAAGACTTGTGGACTTCAACTCCCAGAGTTCCCAAGCTAACAGGACTGGAGGAGGGATTCTGGGAGTTGAAGTCCACACGTCTGAAAGCTGTCAAGTTAGAAGACCCCTGCAGCTCTACCATTCCCCTCTATTGCAGTGGTTTCCTGTATCACATTGCCCCTCCAGGTTTCATCTCTACTGTTCCTGTGATGCATTTCCTGTTCTTGTATTACTTTAACGCAAGGGTCTTCAAACTTGGCAAGTTTAAAACTTGTGGATTTCAACTCCCAGAATTCCCGAGCTAACAGGACTGGAGGAGGGATTCTGGGAGCTGAAGTCCACAAGTCTTAAAGCTGTCAATTTTTGAGGACCCCTGGATGAGGGGATCGTCATATTGGGGGAATGTAGCCATCCATGTTGCCTTTTCTCTTTCTGTCCCTCTTTTTTTTTAAAAAAAAAAAAAGGCACAAAAAAGATCATTTTTAAAAAAAACAGATCCAATTCCTCTTCTAATTATTCCGAAATGCATTCAAAAGCACCCTTTCCGGGGCTGAATCTCCAATCCTTCAGACCCCCTCCCTCGGAAGCAAAGGAGACGCGGTCGAATTCTTGACGCAAGCCGTCCTAATCCGAGGATTATCTCCAAAAGGGAGCCGTGTTCGGACTGGGGACTCATTCCCCTTTAGGAGATCCAATCGAGAAAAGCTAAAAGGAGGGCTGTGGATATAGCGAGAGTTGCCAGCCCCATTTTGCTGAGGGAGGGAGGGGCTCCTGTGGCAAAACGGACGAAGCCCGCCGCACAGAATCGCAACCTGGGGATGTGAAACATGGTGTGATGTTTTTCCAGACGTGTCTATTTTCTGAAACGGCACCGTTTGGGGTTGGTCTTTGGTGGTGGGCTCTCTACACATGGGGGGGCTCAAGTTGGACCTTCCTCCTGGCTCAAAGGGGCGCTCCGAGAGTTTAGCAGCAGGTGAGTGCGTGTGAAGGTACATCCCGATCCCACCCACTCCTGGCCTAGCACCCACCCTTTATAATTGGCGGTCCTCCATGTGGCCGAGCTGGGGAGAGAGTTGCGAGGGGCGTGGGGCAAGGGGCTTCCAGAGGTCACCGGCGTTCTGTGCAGCTTGGGGGAGGTCCAATTCCAACCTGCCCACCGTCAAAAATCCATCAACACATCGCTGAAATGCAATTCCTGTTGGCTTTGCATGGAAGTCCCCCATTTATATGCCCAAACATGGCGGTCCTTCGTTTATGATCTGGGTTGGAAACGACCGAAAGAATGCAAAATATATATATATAAAATAAACGACAACGTTTCTTCGCAGCCTTTCCTAAGGACCAACTCAGGGACCTGAGACTGGCAGCTTCAACTGTCTGAAAAGACCCAACGTGGACTATTAGAGATGCAAAAAACCAAAAAACGTTCCTTTTCCAGACACAGCCTAAAGGCCGGTCTGAGTCTAACCCGCTGCAGATCGGCTGTTTCCAATTCTTCGGATCTTTCGCGTGAACATTCGTTCCTTTGTCAGGTCCTTAGCATCTAGTGTTTACACGAGAACTTGTAGTAAAGTTTGAGCTCCTTTAGGAGAACGTTCCTAACTATCTGGGCATCCTTCTTTCTTCAGGAACTCTTCGTCAACCTCCTAAATTAACTGACCGGGGGGGGGCCTTCCTCGGCCAAACTCCACCCATAACTAGAAAATATAAGGATACGGGGCACAGTTTTCACAACGGGAGGGGAGGCAGGTCCGCATCGAGACTCTGTTACCTCCCACCATCAGTTAAGACGCATAACCTTAACCATTACTACCAGTAGAGGGTGGGGCAATCAGGAAGAGCTCAGGTCACGTACTGAACCCTCCCCAAAAAAGCCAGGTCTGTGGAATGGATGATACGGCCTCCAAGACGCTCCTCAAATATGACGATCTGGAGAAGGAACAAGAAGAGAAGGCACAAAACTCACTCGGTGAAAAAAAGAGTGCGTTTCGTTTGAACAATTCTGGCACGTAGTAGTCCTTCTTCCCATTTTCCCTGTGACATCAACCCTGCGAGGTGGGTTGGGTTGAGAAAGAGGGACTGGCTCAAAATCCCCCACCTGGCTTTCATGCCGAAGGCGGGGCTAGAACTCCCAGTCTCCTGGTGATTGGCTCAAAGTCACCCATCTGGCTTTCATGTCTAAGGCGGGACTAGAACTCCCAGTCTCCTGGTGATTGGCCCAAAATCCCCCAGCTGGCTTTCATGTCTAAGG